AACACAGCCTTTCACCTCCTGTATTTCTGTTTAGGATTACCATCACAGAAGTACCTGAGTCTGCATGCAATGAATCCCGAAAGCCCTGAAAGCATACTATGTGTGCACGGATTGTCAGTACACTGACACACACTACACAACTAGGACCAGGGTCAATCCCTTCAGTGTGTCTTTTTCTATTGTTCTGTGCATCTGCATTAAATTCAATGCCTTAAATTACAGATAGTCTGCGTGGTTAGCCACTGGAGAAAGAGTGAATATCTCCGGGGTTTTCAGATGTCTTGCTCTGCACTTCCAAAAGGGAGCACCTGAAATCCTGAGGAAATGTCCAAAGCCTCCAAATGCTTTGGACAAAAAAAGAGGATCTGTTTTGAAATTCCAGATATATGGCAGTTCTGGGAAAGGTGCTCTGTTTTGTAAGAGACACAAACCTCTGCAGGTTTTAGGAGGTATGTGGAGGGGCAAGCAATAATACTTCCAAACCGGTTGGGGCTGTTTAAATCCCAAGTACTAGAAGTAATATAGCAACAGACTTTCTAAGATGACTACCTTTCTTTCTACGTTTTCACTGGATGAAATGAAGAACTGAATATTTTGAGCCTTTGTCCAAGTCAGCTACAAGTTTGGATGAAAATCAAACCAACCTGTCTCCACTTAAATCTCATATAAACTCTATAATGTAATAAATTTTATAGATGTCTAAAAAATATATATACACTTCTAAATTAAGTAGTAGTTAAATGATTTATTGTATTATTCTCTATTGTCTAACCCAATTAAATTCACATTCTAGATTAAATTATGGCTAGCTTATACCATTGATAAGAAACATCTCAGTACTGTTGCTCCAAACTTTGCTATGACGACATCCTTTGTATACAAATCTAAAAGGAATTCAAGTTACATGCATTTCTTAGTTCAGCTGGCAGATCCATGAGACTTTGGTGGGAAAAATAAAACAAAAATAAGTGGGGCCAGATTCAGAAATATTTGCTTTGACATTACACTCATTTTAAGCACTAGGATATTGCACTGCCTTCTTGAATTACAGCCATGCCCTAAGCATTCGTCTCTGACAACAGCAAAACACACTGATTCTCAAAATCTGTCAAGACTGGATTTAAGCTGACAAAAGACAAATAAGTGAAACTTGTATAATGTTATATTATAATCCTTTGAGAATGCCCATTCAACCCTGCTAGTAAAGTTACAGTCACAGCTTTTTCACTTTTCCCTAACATTCTCATTGCTTTTCAATGAAATTGATCCTTTAGGATTTTTAATCTTGGCCTCAGAACCGCTTGTGTTTGAACTGTGAAAAACATGCTGAAGAAAAACATTAAAACATATTTAAGTATGATTATGTGGCAAGAAGTAGTACTCAAAAAAGGCGCAATAGGGGCTTTTAAGTTTATTATCAGTTGAAGTTCACATCTGCTCTATTCACAAAGAAGAGGGAGGAAAAGATGTTATTTCTGACTTAGTTTTTAAAAATAAACCTGGGACTTCACTTGATCTGTTTTTGCATTACTAAAAGTAAAAGTTACTGTAAATTGTAACTCGGTAATTCTATTGATATGTGAATCAGCAGCTACAATAAAGCCTTCAAACACCTTCTCTGCCAGGGATGCAAATAACAGTAATTGTAGAATAATGTCCTCTAAATTTCACTTTAGTTTTGGCTTTGCAAAGTGGTTATGAAATAGCCTGCTTTTTGCATAATCATTTTTTAAAAAGCAACAACTGTGTGGTGAGGATTTAAGTCCCAGTTGAAAAAAAATGAGGAACTGCTATAATCTTCAACAAACTGGCATTTCAGCCTAAATGACAGGCATAAATGGAAGACAACTTGCATATAGATTATTTCTAACGTGCTGGCGTTGGGATGCACCAACTAGAACAAGATTATATTGACAAGAGTTTTGTTCATGCCCATGGGATTTAGGATCAATGAAGTTACTAATCACTTTACATCTGTGGATAAGTCATAAAAAGGAGCTAACAAACAAATGGCTGCTGTGCACTGAAGGCCGTCAGTTTGGGATTTAAACGAATGCCTGGTTTGCTACTTCTGCACGGGCAGTGACAAGCCACTCTTGCTCAGAGCCCTGTGCTGCCCTGCTACCCCCGTCGCCAGGGGCCCGCGCTGCCTCAGCCCCTGCCACCCTGCTCCCCCGCAGCCCGGCCCTGCGGCACGGGGGAGGCAGCCGGCAGCAGGGGCTGCAGAGTGCTGGGGGAGAGCCGGGGTCCAGCAGTGGAAGAGGATCTAATTGAAGACAGCAGCGATTAGATTTGCTCCAGAAATCACTAGGAATTGCTGAGCTATTGTACGTATTTCAGAAAATGAATCCTGTTGATTTGAATCAATGACCTCAGTTGAACTCCACAACCTCATCAAATTGATCTAGCAGCAGATTACTCTGATTTTAAAAAACACGCATCTTTGCAAAACAGAACGAGAGAGAGAGGGAGTGCCAGCAGGTCCAGAATCTTCAAGGGATAGATGCAGTGTGGCTGGAGCTTGTTTTGTTGAGACAAAATTGTTGCTTCTTTTAAAAATCTCAGCACATCTTTCTCTTATCCAAGAATATGCCTTCTTCTGGGTAGTTTAGCAATATTACCTAAGTGGTAGAAGATTACTGGGGCCTAGACACTTCAGATCACCTGCGATGACACACATTCCATGCATTGCCTTGGTCTCTGCTCTCCAGGCTTCCTGCCTCTCTAGGATTGCTTTTGTATATGCAATTTGCAGCTATTGCTTAAAAAGGTGTTGTAAATGTCAAACACTTAAGACGATACAAAGATAACACCTTATTTTAGCACTGTTTAAATTCCGCTTTATATATTGCCTCAAAAAAAAAATTTGGTGAAAAAAATCAATTTGCCTGTAAAATGACTAACAGGATTCCGTATAACTCTTTCTCTATACAGTCTACACAAACTATTAATGACACTTTAAACTCCTGATTTAATCGGCTTTTCGGTGTCAGTTTTTATTTGTATATTAATATCACAACTGAAATGAAAATTCAAGAAGCAGAAAACAGCTACACATATTTGATGTTGTACGTGAAAGCATTAGATATTTAGCAACTTCTTTGATGTTTTGATCTCTGAAGAAATCTTACTAAAATTATGATCAAAGGAATTTATATTATTCCAAGTACTTAAGAACAAACCATCTTAGGGCAATATTCAGTATTCTGTTTAATCCTTCACCCTTGGAATCCATTATTGCTAAGCACCTCAATCTGATGGGAGTTACGTTTACTTAAGGATGATATTCTCTTAAAACAGAATTACAAGTAACAGAAAGCAACACTTTCAACTTACAAAAAGATCGAGGAATTGGATTTTATTCTGACTAAAAAGTGTTCTTTGAAGCTGCTTTTCAAACATACATAACTTAAGAAAATTGGTATGTAGCTCATTATGAGACAGTTCAGATTTTTATTTTTCTACAGCAGGCAAAGAAATAGAATTTCCAATACACAGCTACTTTTACTTTAATCTATTTCTAACTATTTCCTATTGTCAGTGTTTATAGAATACTATTACATAGATGGATATATCTAATATTTATAAAGTAAATTAACACTCTACAACATGCAAAGGCAGATAAATAATGAATTATCCTTTTCATCAATCTGACCACATAATGTCTATTTCTCTGTAATATTAAGTGCCGCATCAGACAGGTTGTTGTAATCCCCCATGGCAAATTAAATCAAACAGTGTGATACAAAGAATCTCTAAACTGCAGCCTACAGAATAGCAGAAGAACATCAGAGCCAAAGAAGATCTAACAAAAACACTGATCACTGCTTAGATTATGGATTTACCACTGGTGGTTGAAGAGAGGTAAAGGAGGGTCGTGCAGTAGCAAATAAGAGAGCAAACCATGACTTCAGGTCACAGCCACAGTCTTACCAACCCCCCCACACCCTGAGTAAGCAATTCCTCCTCCCATTTTACCTCTACAGATTATTTTTCTTCCTGCACACCCCACTCGCAAAGGTGGACTTTAATCTTACAGCAGTTTTGTACTATTTATATCCCCATGCTCCATCACTCTTTAATGGGGAAAGATTACGAGTAGACTAATGTGCAAATACATCTGACTCCGAACACACTGTTGTAAGCATTCTTCCAAGCTGACAAGAAAACACGCCTGCTTTAAATGAAAATCAATCTCTGTTAAATCTGTTAGCTCCAGCTCATTTGGGCTGGCACTGCTTTAAGAGCTCACAAAGAGGTGTGCTGAAGCAGTAACACCAGAGAATCGCACATTCAGCTTTGAAAGACGGCAGATGCACCAGGACTGCAAGTGCATCTGAGGGAACCCGAATAGGTGACAGAGGCAGGCACAGGTTAACTGTGCCTCTGACAAACTCATTGGTAGGTTATCCTTCCTCCTGGGCTGAGGGGCTTGAGAACAAGGTCTGTCAAGGAAATATTTTCAAAGGTGCAAGGTTAATTCATCCTGGAGCACCTTCTGTCCTGACTTCAGCACTTCGTACAGTTCAGTTATCACACCCTTATAGACCTGTTTTGTCTTCTGATCTTTTTATAGCTACATCATTGAAGAAGAGGAAGCTGCACAATCAAGGAGATACTTCTCCAAGGCAAGAATATCATTGGCTTTCTAAAGGCACTCACACAGCCTGACTCTAGTCAGAAGCCTCGTGTGAACTGTGAAGCTCAGGAGTTCCTCCACATTCCTGGGACACATTATAGGACAGTTAATCAACAGCTATGCTACAACAGCCAGGAATTAGAACAACTTCCAGGGAAATAATTTTGCCTCATTAGAGTTCATAAACCATCTGGCACAACAGCATCTTCAGTTGCCTTTAGTACCGGGACCACTCCATGGCTATTTCAGGCCTATGATTCTGGGGAATGTAACATGAGAAGCAGCACCACCTAGTAATTTTAGCTCCAGCTCTGCTATCAAACCCAGTGACAAAATGCCTTTACCTCTAAAAATTACTTACTTGATTAAAGTGCTGAAGTTTGTCAATTAAATTACTGATGAGTGGGTCCAATCCTCTGACTTTCAGTTCTGGATTATTAATTTGTGCCTTCAATCCATTGGAAACAATTCTGCTGGTGTAACTGAAACAGAAAAAAAAAATGAAAACATCAGTGACTGGAACCATATCCACTGGAATCAAAATCATATTAAAGGGGCCTTACAAAAAGCAAATATCTTGTAAATGGGAATAGAAATTTGTAATTAATATTTATGTTTTCAAATACACCAAACCAGAATAAAAATCACAGTTTCTTGCAATATCATTCATCACTGCAAGCTATTCAAGTAATGAGCCAACAACAATTTCATAAACCACACAGAGGTTCCTTTCATTCATATTTTAGTATCTGAACCTTTATAACTGACATTCTCAAGTTCTTCCATGCAGCAAAGCTGATAGCTTCCAGAAAATCAGTGTTTCGTAATTACAGAAACCCAGGGAATTCAAGACAGAAACTAAACATCATGAGATTGAAGTAAATCCAATGAAACTACAGTCTGATTTAATACGATTCCTAATCAAAATGTGAGATTACACTTCTCTTTCTAGGCTATCAGGTTATCACCAAACTGTCTAGAGACACGGCAAAGCAGCACCTGCTGTTCCACCAGTGCTGCTCACCATGCCCGATCTGCCTTACAAACTCACTAGCCAGGGCCCACATACAGGAATTCTCTCTAACCAAGTCTTGCTTTATTTTGAGGAGTAGCAGCTGTTTTTACACCATGATGACCTGGCTCTCATCAGCAATCTTCTCTCATCAACTGTTGACTAAACAGTATCTGCCAGTGTTTTCTGGAGTACACCACCATGTATTCTCAAAACCTAATTGGCTTGGGGCTCCAATCATGTACTCTCATGGGGAAAATTTCAGGATTTTGCATATTTGGACTCTACTTCTGAACATGCCTTTACCACAGCTGAGGAGGTGAATTCATCAGCACATTTATGCTGAATCCAGCGCTTCCTGAAAATTGGCTCCAGTGTTGATCTACTCATGCATGATTTCAGTTCAATCCATCCACAAGACTGCAAACCCCCGAGAGATACAGAGCAACCTTTTTGGGGAGTCAAGCTTTTGAGGGTTGTATGTAACCCCTCTCATTAGTTCAGCACTCATTTGTCACAAAGTGGATCACGGATGTTTGCATGACCAGTTATGAACTGGACAAGAGGCTGTTCCCAAACAAAACTCTCCTAAGCTCACACACATACCTGGAAGGATCTCATTAAGACACCATGTTGGCATCTTTATAAATCAGGTAGTAATTGCCCGTGCTCCTCTGAACTGAAATGTCAAGAGAAACATCCTGCCATATCTGTCACTTTGATCATACCTACACACTTCGACATCCCTGATGTTCTCCTATCAGTGAATTCTTCACTGCAAACCCATTTGTGCTGAAACTGAGGACAGCATTTCAAAGTAGAAAAAAGTGCCAAAGCTCTATTGTAGAAAGACAACAGAATGTGGTAGGGGGAGATCTAGCTCTCCAAATATACTTGTCCTATCTTAATTTAATTTAGGATGAACAACAAATTTTATGCAAACTGCTGGCAAAGCATACTGTAGTATACTGCTGTAAAAGGTGTGGCTTAAAAAGAGAAAGAACTGAGAATGGTCCACCTTTTCAGTAAACTCAATAAATTTCACTTCTCAGGAAAAAAACAAAACAAAACAAACCAACCAAACAAAAAACAAACAAAAAACAAACAAACAAACAAAAAACAACAAATGTTTTAGAACAAAGAATTGAGAAAAACCATGGTTTTCACTAATAGCCAGATAGTATTTAGAGGACAAACATTAAGTAAAACCTTTTTCAGTGAGTCTGTATTTTTTTTTGTTCACTGAGACTTTTAAAGGTAATGTTCTGATTTTTCTTTTTGTGTGCCTCATACAAGTATAAACTACTCTAGAAGTATAAACTTTCACGGTGCAATGGCATGTGCAAAACGATGGTCAGGTTCTGATCTTACAAGCAGACTCAAACAGCTGGATCGATGTCCCCAGGAAAAACCCAGCTAAAGTATTATTTTGAAGTCAAGGCTGGTAGAGATCATACAAATCCATGCCAATTCATTTGGACAATATAGGAACACTGCTGCACATTACCTGCCTTTAGCTTTACCTTTATTCACAAATCATAGTATTTGCTGAATGCTCAACACTGTTCACCATGTGAAAACACATGGTTACCCACTGTAGGTGTACAGGGACATGTGGCACAACTTTTTGAGATCATCTAGTTGCAGTACAGGAAAAATTTAATTTAATGGGTCAGTTCATGGCCCCCACCAGTCTGTTCAGTGATTCTCTGTGCGCATTTCTTTGTCCGATCAGAAATTCATCACCAGCAGCAAAAAGCAAGGGTTTTCCTTCTCATTGCTCTTGACTGCTCTCCATTCAGCCCCTGGTTAGAGCTACTGGAATTTCTCTAGAGGCTTATGTCATTATAATCCAGGACAAAGAATGCAAAATTGCTTCCCCTCTGAGCCAGTTGGGTTTTTTTTTGGCAGATGATATTGTTTTTCCTTCCTGTGAATCACAAGCCTCCATTAAATGCCTCTAAGTGATATTACAAACCTACAGCACTGCACGGAGTTTGCATAAACATGACCAAGTCAGGGACAGCAGCAGCAGCATTAATGCCAGAGTCCTCAAAGGGACCCAAATGTGGGAAGTCAATCTCAGTCAACTCACATATATTGCTGTTGCTAAATACATACGCTCATTTATGTACACTGTTACCAGTAAAATAGGACCATTTGGTCAGAATGAGTTCACACTCCACTGAGACAAAGGAGATACTCATATCCTTAAAGCTCCATTCACATTTAAGGACTCATTCTTTAAAGCTCTAGAGATATGCATAAATTATGCACAGATATTTCTTTTGCCCAGATTGCTTGTAATTAGATTAATAATGTGGATTACCTAAATTTCAGATGTCAGAGAAAGCATGCATGAGTTGTGTGAATCCTGCATCATTTACTTATCTCCTTGGTCTAGCATGGCTTCAGAATGAGAGTCACTAACAACCACATCTAACTGCTAATTCGAGGCTCCAGCACGTAAGAGTTGGCCCAGCTGTGGTCTGGAATGTGACCTGTACAACTGGAAATGCAAAAAAACCCGACTACAGACCTTTGGCAGTGGTGAAATAGAAGTGACCTGTCAAATGAATGGTGTAAAAAGCTGGTGTGAAGAGAAGCAAAAGACTTGCAGAGCACAACAAAACCAGCTCTTGGGTTTCCCCATAATAACCCGTAAGCCCTGCTTGTCCTGTGTGTTCTATCACTTCTATAACAAAGTCAAGCCCAGAAAGACTCAGATGAACTAAAAAATGATGAGTTCAGAGAAGGTGGGCTACACCGCTCAAGGAGAAGGAGACAGGGCACAGAACTGAAAGAGAATTGCACAGCCAGCAAGAAGGGAGAAATTCTTCCAGACCATCATAGCCAAGGACCAAAGACTGTACTAGAAAAAGACATTATGTCCATCTGATTCAAACTACTACCCTGTAAACGGTGAATCCTTCTACTAGCTCTGTATCATGCTAAAATACTTTGAAATAAACACTATACATTTCCTGAAAAATAATCTGATTACTTCACTTCTTTGCACTATCTAAAACATTTTTTTAGTTGACATCAGATCCTGAATTACTGGAAACCTACATTAAGAAAGATCAGAAATTGGCTTGCTTTATTTAATAACCTGCAATTTAACTGAAATATTGTAGTACAGAATTGTTAACTCTGGTTACAGCACTAGTACTTTATTCATACTAAACCCAGAAATGTCAGCAGGAATGGTCAAGAGAGTTGTATTAAAATACTGTCACTGGAGCAATCCTGAAAGTAACTGTTGCATTGGAGCCAAAGGAAGAGCACATGCAGACAGAATTTTCATCCAGACCTCAAGCCTTATACCAATGTTATTCCACTGGCTGTTTGGGTAAAGCTATGACACTTTAAAAAACAAACAAAAACAAATTCTAAAAAAAAAAAATCCCCCTAAACCCTGTTTTACAGTACTTCAGAAGAACAGTATCAATTATTTTAGATCTTAGCTAACACACCTCATGACAGGTTTAAAAAAAAGGTAAAAAGTGAAATGCTGTTTACACATGGGATTGCATTTCAACTGAAGGCACACATTTTACATTTTTATTTTCTACATAAATACAGCTATAGATTAAGATATTTGAGTCTAAACATTTATTTCAAAATAAAGACATGCTATTCTCAAATGTGTGTGTTTAAATTTCTAATATGAAAAGGAGCAAGGTAGGATTCCCTCAAAGACAATTATGCCTTTTTAGATAGTTCAATACTTTAAGAACAACATATAAAATAGAAATAACTTTAAATTCCAGGCAAATGACTGCAGGAGCTGCATTAAGGAAAGATCTAGCTAGCAGTGATATTTAGACACAAAAGCCCAAGAAACAGGATGCTGTTTTCACACCACATCCCTCCTCCCTGCAAGAGCCCATCCCTGTCAGGACACAAGTGTCAGATAAAGCTCTTGTAGGCAGCTTTTCCAAGTATTGATCACGCTCCAGCTGGGAGACTATTTCCATTACTCCGCATTCCTCGGGGTGCTATTACCCAGAGTTGTGCCATTACCAGCCACTACGCCCCCCCGTGCTTTGCTCCCGTGGCTAATGGCCTGTCCTTTTCCTGAAGATGTCGGCCCCAGCCCAGGAACTCACCAGAGGGGTCTCAGAGCAAGACACCACACCGCGCTCCAGGCGCCGTGTAACGTGCACCGAGCACTTCAGGATTATCTATACTAGAAGTTCAAGATACCCAGAACTTGAACTTCATCTGAACGAAATGCTCTCAATTTTAGTTCTCTTTTCTCCACTTGAGTATTTGGCCCAACATAGAGGCATCAAAATTCTTATTTAATTGTGGGAGAAACGGGACATCTAACATCACAAGGCAAATCTGAGCCCCACATTCAGTTCAGAGGAATCCATGAACTGCCATAAACATTTCCATGGGACAGAAATTGCTTTTGATGAAATAACTTGTCATATAACCTTGAGAGCTGCTATATATATAAAA